ATTAGTGTACTATTGTAACCATATAAAAGCAAACTTTTTGTGGAAGTTTGATAAAAAATAAGAAGATGCATGAAACTTAGTCATTTGTGGAAATAGCTGTGAAATATTTAGATTTGTAGTAATGTAATGTTATTCAAAAATAATTCATTATGTTTCAGATTGTCTTAATTTTGTACCAATGGAGCATTATTACAGTACAAAATCTGACATCCAGAATCATCAGTTCTTTGCCGATTCCAAAATTTTAGATCATCAGTTTAAACCTAGTATGATGATGCATAGAAAATTATAAAATTAAAAATATACAACAATGAAGTATTTATGTCCTCAAGGGAATCAACGTTTATATATAGAAAAAGCATTTATTAAATAATCCTTTCATTGTAAGTTGTTTTAGGTATCTTGTGTTTGTGCTAATATTTTTTCTTTAATTTTATAGATAGATTTCCCCCCCCCCAGTTACTAAATTCTATTGTTCAAGTCCTGTAACTGGCATGTCAAGAGTTCTCACAGAACTGTCACTCGAAATCTTGCTGGTAGTGATATTTTCTGGATTTAAAAACCATGCTAGAGATTTTAACACCCATCAGTTGGTTGGTGATTAATATCACAATGGAAAATTTCTGTTTCACCTTCATTTATTATCACTTTTATACATTTCTTCACAAATTCCATTAATTGGAAAATTTCATCATTTGTTTGTGATATATGAAAACCATTAAATTTGTGTTATCATTGCCATAAAATATGGTAGTTGGGTATAAATTATACCAAGCATTTTTTTAAATATCTATAGACACATTCTTCCATGATCTTTTTCATTGCTCTACACAGCAGATTTAATATTTGACAAGTGCTTGAATCAAAAAATTTAGCATAGATTTTAAGATGGATAATATATATATGCATTTCAACATGTGCAGTGCTCTAACATCCATTGGCTGAATGATGAACCTTCAAATTTGAAGAAAAAATAAGATGAAAGCATTTCATTTTACTAAAAATTTTAAGTGAAATATGAGCCAAACAGTTATCTGTAATTTCGAAAATTTTTGCATCATCTATCCAGTAAACCTATTGAACTTCAGATATTATATTACTTTCAGAATTCACATTTATTAATATGTGTTTCATTCATGCTGTTTTATTTAAACGATAGGTAAAAGGGAAGATTTTTACTTCTTTAAATGCATGATATCATATATATTTTCTGATTACAAAAAGTTTATATTTATGCTTTCCTGTAGCATCTGCACTTACCAAAATCGTTAGTCGCACTTTGGAATCTTTGACACCAGCTGTAGGTCTTTTGTGCAGAAATCATCAAGGCATTTCGGGGCACATATTGCGAGAAAGGATTAATTTAATCAGCGGTATAAAATTTTTCTGGAGATAACTTTTTGCTATTAATGAGTTTAATGACTTCATTTGCAAATTGTTCGGATGCTTTAATATCAGCTGAAGCTTTTTTACCTGAAATGTGTAACTATATTATACCATGGTGATTTTTTCATTTAGTTAATCAAACTATCTAATATGTGCAGTCAGTTATGAAATTTATTTCCTCATAAAATAATTTGGCTTGAGCCATTAGCATTTGACCCAACAATGGCACACCCTCATTGCAATGCTGTCTCACTCATTCAGTCAACACTTTTAGCATTACAAATGATTTTTCTGCTATTCATTGAAAATTGCGTGTTTGAATCCACAAAAAGCTCTTTTTTGGGGAAGGGGCTATATACTTATTTTTGAATGCAGTATTTTGCATTTCTCACATAATTTTGAAATGGATACATCTCGTCCATTTTTTGCATGATGCGCATTGAAACATGTTTCCATTTTGCAAATCTTATTGCAATTCCAAAATTAAAAACTATATTCATTATAGTTGAAAATTCAAACTTTAATTTTGATAAAACAGCTCTAATAACACACTGCGAAAATTAATAAGCTGGATCAAATTAGAAACTTAAGAGTGCAATTTGCTATGTTAACTGAACTTAAGTTCCTCTGATTCATTATCTTTTCCATGGTTGTATGCTAACAAAAGAAAGCCAGAATGAGGGAGCAAAATATCATGTTTCTAACAAATATGTCTTATGGCTTCACTTTTAAGTCAGACAGAAAACTGTTAACTCTTTACTACCATTCAAAAGCCAAAAGTGTGCATGTGGTTAATGTCAGTTAGTATTATGCAGGAATCTGACATAATTGGGAGGAAAATCTCTTTTAAGGCACATTTTCTTTTTCTTGAGTGTTATACTGGTTTGGATTTCCAGATCTTGGACTTTAAAGGAATGTTATCAAATGAAATTATGTTTTGTAACTTTCAGAATATCATCATGGTAAATTCTGTTTTTTTCTCCCTTCCAAGACTATCAGACTCGACATCAGACAGAGGCAGTTAGCAATGTTTCTTAGAAATGTGCTTTTGCCAAGCCACTTCTAAAGCAATAATCTCAGGTAACATTTTAGTTGCTTGGAGTTGCAACAATTGATTCTGAATCTGATAAGCCTTAGAAGTGCCCATTTGTAAATATAATAAAATTTAATTCATAATACAGAAATGTAATAAAATTTTCTTACTGAAATATGTAATTAAAATCATAGGCTTTGCTTTACAGCTATCAGCATTCCACTGGTTGATTCTTGAATTCTTGATTTTGGTAGAAGATGCAAATAAAAACCAGGGAATGGGTATCTGCATAAATCATCTAAGGATAGGTTAGCTTTGACAATAAAAAATAAGTCAATATCTTGAGAATGAGTGACATTCATAATCTGGGTCTTCTTATTCTGGGAAAGGCCACTACCATTCCACTCCACTGCAAGATTAACAGCCCATTCTTTACCATAATGTAATATACTCCAAATGCTCAGAAGAGCAAGGAAGTGAGGAAACGCTGGGACAGATTTAGCTTTAACCAGGGTGCACCATGAGGAGGCATGTCACGTTACACTCCATTAAAATCATATTAAATTAGAATTTAAGAGGAGGTTTGCGTCCGACCTATGAAATGAAGATGAGGGAAATGCCTGGAAATGGATTAGTTCAAAGCGAGTTATTCCCGAATTTCCTCGTTCTACTGCCATAACATTATTTAGTCTTGCGACCGGCACGATTGTTTGAATATCCATCTTTTCAAAATTCGACTTAAGGGCTCTTCGTTCTGTACTCATTATAACTCTGGGCAGTCTATGGATAAGGAGCATATTGACGAATGCACTGCACTATTATCTTTTAATTCTGTTGTTCTTAAGTATTGGAAAGCAAGATCAAGACTAATGGCTAAGTGGCCAAATATCAATAAATAACATTTGTATAAATAAGTTAAAATCATATAAACTAATATTTGTTAAATTTTCCTAATAAAGCATTAGAAATTTTATAAGCCTTATTATGAATTGAATTTTGTTCTATTCGGTATGTTACTTCTGTAGTCTGGTTATATAACACAGATAAGAAACAGAAAATGATACCTCAGTCTGTCTTTCTGATGGGGCTGTGCAGTAAGTAGTTAATTATGTCCTTGATGTTAGATCAGTTACTTTGGATCTAATGATTCAGCATTCAAGTGACATAAAATCATTTTGATGTTTATGAGGCAGAAGGAAGTTTTATAGAATGCTTGTAAGTATGATGTATGATCTGGGCAGTTTTCCTTTTATTTTTCATGTTACTTATTATTTTCCATTGGAATTTAATTGTTTCTTTATTCAGGTCAGTCATTTTGAATAATCTTATATTTAATCTAGCATTTGCAAATATATTCATGCATTTTACCCTTTGACTACTAATGAGATATATATGTCCCACTAAAAGTTTAAATATTACTGCTAGCTTAAAAAAAGTGCTTAGAATCTCTTGAATGTTGGGGATCATCTTCCAAATAGTTGGAAAATCAAGACACTACTGTGGTTGTTATACACAAAGGAACGTAGACAAAAGAGCAATTATGCATTGCCCAATGTATAATGTTGGGTTATGCAAAGAATGCTTTACCCTGTACCATACGATGTAAAATCTCTTTCATGTCATAACGTTTTCCAGAATAATGGGTGTGCTTATAGTAAGTTGATGACTACATGTGGGACATGCGTATCCCACCATTAAGAATGGCTGGGACAAATGTCTCCAAATGTCTCCCAGCCTTTGGCCTGAAAACATTTTGTCAAAAAATAAATTTACCTTATTTTTGACATATTTGGTTCACTTGGATAAAAAAACTTTTTTTTAATTCAAAGGGTTAAATAGCTATTAAAATTATATGTACCCATATACTATTATTAGTAGTAGTTTGAATATTGAATATTAATTTTTCATATATATTGTCGCGTAGATGAGGGGATCCTACAAATGAACAGGCAAGTACAAGTCTAAACTCAAGACTTTTTATTATTAACTAGAACTGAATGAAGAGCTACTTATATACAGCTGGTGAACATGCTAAAACATTCCAGACTTGGAATGTTCTGAAAGAATAAGAAGGAGGAAGTTTACATAAATAAGATAACATTAACAACAAGGATATTTACATAAAAACCAATTATCAGGCATCTTGCCATTGATGGATTTCGAACCCAGTACTTTCGGGATTTGAGTCCTGCGCCTTCTCTGCTAAGCTATGAGGAGCTCGGTCGAAAAGAGCGATTTTCGCTACAATATATATATTTTTGTCTACTTTGAGAAAAATATATACTGAAAGCATATAGTTGTTGTTTTTACAGAAGTTACATGCAGCATTTGAAAATGTACTAACAGATATGTTATTTCAAGCAAATAAATATATATATTCTATATGTATACATTTATTTGCTTGAAATAACATATCTGTTCTTCGGTACAAAGCTATTGGTGCTAATGAATCTGTTATTTAATTAAACTAAGATAAAGAATAATAAAAGCCATAAAGGAATATAATATTGCTGTTACATTTGTCTTTAATTCTTTGCAGTTACTATATTTAATTCTCTTTTGTACATGTATTTTAAAACAGCAATTTCCTCCTGAAAAGTTTCCTGTTGTATTTAAATATTCAATGGAAGCTGAAATATTTCCGGAGATTCTCCATACGTTAAGCACCTCTTTTCTAGAGTGAGTGATCTTTTGTCAATTTTTTAAATATTGTTCAGAGTGATAAAAAGTGATAATTACGTTAACTCACAGAAAAAAATAAAATTGTGGTGAATGTTAAGCTGTTTTAAACCCATGGGGAAATATAAAAGTGATAGATTTATAATTGATGTATAATACACACACATACATGCCCAATGCATCCTTTTATTATTATTATTATTATTATTATTATTATTTATTTTGAACCATCAAACATTTAAGTTTTTATGCTCTTCTGAAAATACATTCCATTCAGGTGTAAATAGTAATACCAATATAAAATATTATTTGACAGCAATGCACTTCATTGGTGTTAATTGCCCACCAGCAGCTGAATGGCAAAGTCGCTGAACAGTGGTAATTGTGTCTGGAGTTCAAGTCCTGGCTGCATGTGTGTTGTTTTGTTGTTGCTGCATTGTGGTTTTCCTTGTGTGTAAATGGAAATTCCTATTTGCAGGCTGGCATAGCAAATGGATTTACTGGGACTGCAGACAAATACATCTTTGTATGATGGAAACATTTTCATTACTTATGCTTGGCTTACCTGTGCTTCCTTTATGCAAAACATGTCCAGGCTCTTGAAACTCTTTTAATGATCTTTAAATTGATTGTTCCATTTGTGGAGATTAATTAAATTCATGTCAGAATTGCCTCTAAACTGTGTTTTGAGAGATTTCATTTCACATAACCAGAGAATGTGCATTGCTTTTTCAATGCATGATGTTAGTTCTTCTGTAAACAAACAAGTTCCTTGTTGCCATTCCCAAATAATTTCAATGTATATTTTCCCCTAATATTAAATTATTTCTCTTCCTCACTGCATTATGTAACTTTATATCAGTAAACAATTAATTATTAGTTTTGGTTGTTTTGTTGTTATAATCAATGGGATCTTGATTATACTGATCATTGCTAGCATTATTTGACTAATAGCCCTCATGGGTCAGTAGTAAATCCTGTTGGGAACACCAGCTGTACACCAATGCACAATTTCAGTGTTGCTTCAAGGTGACCAACAGAAGATACCTAACCCTCTGAAAGGTTTGGAAAAGTCATTTCCATGTCCTAAGCAACCTTAAAATCATTGATAAGACCTACATTTGAATTATCAAGGGAACCCTCAATTGTGCTTGAAAAAAATTTTCGATTTGATTTTGTCCCTAAATATGATTTTGAGAGGCTGCTGATGAATAGGAACACATCAGTTGTCAATAAAATTATTTCTTTGGAAGAAGATCATGAAACTGTAAATGATTGAGGATAATACTCAAGAGTTGTTTTAAGACCATGCCCGTCAATGAAGCAATGCATCTGCATCATAAGCAGTTGTAAAAAGTTACGGATGAAACCTTCTTTGAGGCTAAGAAGGAAAGAAATAGAAATACATTATGATTTCAAATGAGATTAGAGAAATGTGTAAAATGTAAGAAAGACTGCAAATTAAAAAAAAAAAAATTACAGCACAAATAAGGCTGTAGCACTGAAAGTGATGAATCCATTAAACAAGTGTCTAATTCCCCAAAATCCTCAAAAAGAGGCAAAAGCAATTGTCATTTTATAAGTTTGTTGTTAAAGTTGTACAAAAAGAAAAGGTGTTCAAGGAAAAGCTATCAGAATCACTCATGTCTGTTGGCTCACATCCAATATGTAGGAATGATCCTAATAATTAGCCATGATTCTTTTCAAAGGTAAAAATTAAATAAATATTATTTTATACTAATCATTTTATATGAATATTTTATGGTTTTCCAAAATGAAGTATATTCTCAAAGCAAGGTGACACTGTAAATAAAAATTAATATACAAAGATAAACAAATAAACAGAAGTTGTTATATGACTTAGAACAACATTCATGAAATCTTGCTGCAAGATCAAATTTTAAACTCAGTTGTATAACTTTCAAACACTCATTTCATTATATCATAGTTAATCAGTAGTCTGGGAAATCATGATTCTTTTTATTGTATCTTTATATCTCTATTTATGTATATAATTTTTTGTTTTACGTTTTCCTAAATGCTTCTTAGTTCTCTCACATCCATTCATGTATGACTGCAGCGGTATCTTCTTTAAGTCATAGCATTCAATAAAAGAATAAAATTTGTAATGCTAAAATTTTCGAATATTGTTTTCATGACTAATTTTTAGTTAACTTTTGTAAAAAAGATATTTAGAGCCAGATGTGTGCTGTGTGTATGTTGCTCGCACTCATTAAATTTGTTATCTAATTTCAGCAATGGTGATGATGTCTTTGATTATTTAAAGTACCTTACTGCTGTTGGGAGATTTAATACTATGCTTATGTTTTTGTCTAATAGTGAGAAAAAAAGTGAGTTCTCATTTATTATTGCTTAATCAGAAATATTATTTCAATTTTGTTAGTATGTTGTGGAGATGTTATGTATTACTTCAAAAAATTCATTCTTACAAGTGGTTAATAAATTGAAACTAAGAAATTTATATTTAAGTGAAGGCATGTCATATATTCTAGTTAAATATAAATGTTTAGTTTTTATTTATAATGAGATGTGCTTAGGGAAATAGTTAATGTTACAACTATTTTATTATTGTTAAGTGTTTGAAAATTATAACTGATTAAATTGTATCAAACTGAATTTTTTGACTGTAACAAGAAATATTTCATTAATAAAAGTTTAAGCTTATATATATATATATATTTGCTCTATTATATACTTTGCTCTGTTCAAATCACTGAGTTCTGGGTCTCTATATTTTTGCCTCCCTTCCCCCCCCCCAATTAATGGTTGATAAGTTTGTATGTCATGTATCTGCTATTTTCAAATCAGCATTACTAATAAATACTGACATTAGAAATATCCAAATCTCTCTACAATTTTTTAACCTTTATATTATGTTACACTACTATAACTCCTATATGACTTTTGCACTTGACCAATTCTCTATGGGTGCTATTTTCAAAACAGAGGATATTTAATTTATCTTCTGAATTTAATCATATTCTAATTTCTTTGCAGCTTAAATGATTTAAAAGCAATGAATGCATTTCTTAAAAGCTTAGAACCTTTATTTAATTTTTGTTCATTTGCTGTGCTTTATCTCTTTTCGCTATATTAGAATCATTTAAGAGCTTATTGGAATTTTATTTATGATATGACCCACCTAGAAATATAATAAAATTTTGAGGATGTAACAGGTTGAATAATGAAGACTAAAAAATTGCATGTCTTAAAATTTATACTAATTAATGCAGTTCCTTCATAATTTTCATGACAGGGTTAGTAGACAGGCTCTCTCTGAAACTGCAATAGAGCTACATAAGCTAGCACAACTGTAAATGTGTAGTTTTAATCTTCGATATGCAATTTAAAGTTTTCTGTTAGTATTTTTAGCTTTAAATAACTGTAATAGCTATTAAATTATATTTCGGAAACCATATAAGCATTTAAAAGTTCATATGAGTTTGGAATTTATGTTTCACAATATGAATGTCTTTCAGCATAAACCTCTAAATTATTTGTATTTATTGACTTATGTTATAGCAATGCAATATCTCTAATTTTAAAAGAATATTGAGAAAAAGGATTATCAAATGATTATTATTATTCAGCTTGTTATCAGAATATAATTATGTAATTTTTGTATGAGTTAGTGTAGCATTTTCTATAATCGTTATTCTATAATTTTATATTTTATCTAATTGTTCCTGTATAATTTTTTAGATTTACAAAAGCTGCTTGATGTTATAAAATCATCTGATAGGTCATCCTCTGAAAAGGACGATATACTGAATCTATACAAAGTGTAGCAGCTGCATTGTTATTGTTCATGCATCTTCTGTATAATATAAATCTTGTTGAAATAAAGTGTAATTAAATTGTTACTTTTATCATTTTTAAAACTAAGAATTAAGTGAAATCATCCATTAAATTTTTCTGATAGTAGTATGTTTCTTTGTGGTAAGAAATGATAAGCATGCCAGTTCATTGTCTATTAATAATAGAAATAACAGGTGCATGGTTTTTTTTTTTTTTTTTTTTTTTTTTTTTTAATAGCCTTTTGAATTATAGTACTAAGTATTAAAAGAGCTGAGAAAATGTTGATGAAATTAGATTTGAGTGTAGTTAATTGCTGAGGACTAACTGAAATGATCAGTTTATAAAGTAATTAGTGTGTCAAGGAACTTTTTTTATGGTAATAAGATGGAGAAAAGTTACAGCACTTCTTTTGTATGAGTTTCTGTATCACATAAGTAACAGGCAGCCATTTCAAAACTGAAATTTGTATGCAATATGTTCCCAAATAAAATGTACCCCAAGAATGAAATTAAATAATGGGGCAGAAAATGTAGTAGATTTAATTTTATTTATTATTGTCTCATAATTATGTTTTTAACAGAAAACTCAGATTTTTGTTCATTGGTGGGGTTTTAAGTCTTAAAGGAGCTTTTTGTCCATGAAGGACTACTATTGTTTTCATTTTGTGATTTTGCATTGAATCACTATAAATGTCCATTTCACTTTTCAAACTGTTGCCACCAAATGTTAGAGACCTGCATTATATATGCAAAAAATAAATAAAGAAAAATTTGCATAAATGTAGATATATTACTTGCATTCTTATAAAACAATAGTACCTAGAGCCATCGAATTTTGAATGACGTAATCCTCCTACAAATATGGGCATGTGGAAGACCAAATTTGGAATTTGTTTTATTATCGATTTCATATTTGTAAAACTTTAACGAATTTTTTAGTAACAAACTCAATGATTTAAAAGCAAGCAATAGCAACACTCTATGGAGGAAAAAAAACCTTTTTTATCTCCAGCGCGCAGAACTGTGTATTGGAAATATTAAAGACACGATATTTAATAAATAAAGGTAACTCACATAATTATAAAAAAAAACGCCCCTTTGGACGTAATTTAAAATCTGAAACATTTCAGATTTTTTTTTTTAGTCAAAAGGAGCATTAGCTCAGAAGGGCTATTGATTTCGTTTTGGCATTTTGCGTCGATACACTGTAAACATCTGTATCACTTTTCAAACTGTTGCCAACAAATATTATCACCCTGTGTTATATTTAAAGAAATTAAATAATGAAGAATCTGCATAAATGTATGTATGTATTCTCGCATTATGATAAAACAATGGTACCTAGAGCCATCAAATTTTGAATAACATAAACCTCCTCCGAATATGGTCATCTAGAAGCCCAAATTTGGGATTTGTTTTATTATTGTTTTCATATTTTGTAACGCTTTAACGAATTTTTGATTAAGAAACTCAATGATTTCAAAGTGAGCAATAGCAACACTATATGGGAAAAAAAAAAAGAAAAAAAAAACATTCTTATCTCCAGCATGCGAAACTGCATGTTGGAAATTCTAAAGATATGCTCATGTTAAAATTATTTTGCGATATTGATGTTGAATTGAATTTATGGTTTAAGTGTGAAGAACATGATATTTAATAAATAAAGGTAACACGAAAAATGTTTTTTAAAAAAAGCCCCTTTGGGCGTAATATAAAATCTGAAAAGTTATCTTTTATATTTGTATATATATATGCTTGATTGGATTTTTTTAATGCTTGCCGACCAAAAACTCTAATTTCAGAATTTTTATAAAATTCTTATTTAATCCATATTATTCAATAATAAATATAGACTGCTCTTTGATGTTATGTCAAAAGATTTTACAGTATTAGATGTTGACAAATTAGCAATTTCATAACGCGAATACTATAGCCATGTATTTTATTATAGCTTTATCACAAAGCATGTTCAGGTTTCATTTTTGGTGATTTCTGCGTAAACCACAGAAATTTTAGCTATAAAATGTTCATTTATTTTAATTCCATACCAGGATCATTATTTTTTAATTGTAATTATCTTATTTGTTGGCAGTCCGCCCCCCCCCAGACACACACACACTTCAGATACTCTTTTAAATTTCACTGCAGCGCTATTGACAGTACTGTTACAATGTTTACACGAACCTTTGTTCCAAATTCATGGGATTCCTTCCACTCCACAACAAGTTTTCCAGATTCTGCTGCAGTGCTTGCAGATGCTTTAAAGGCAATGCAAAACAGTTTTCATTCAGTATTTAATCCATTTTTGTTGAAAAATAGCATTTTCTTTCTTGCTTATCAAAAGAGCATTAACCCTTTTTCAAGCCAAGGAATGCAACTGATTGTAATAAGTGAGTAGGAGGTAATTTTTTTTAGCCAGTTAGAAATGTTTCTACATTGAATAATAATGAGGAGGTGGGCTAGTTTGTAATTAGCATTAGGGAGGGGAAGGAGAGATATATACGAAAATGGGAGAACTATTGAACTACTTTATAAATTTTAATAGAAAATGTGGTATAGAAATATTTATTTATTACTTTAGGTTGTAAGTTTTAGAAAATAATTTATTTGCATGAACAAAAAGAAGCACTGAAAAGAAGAGGATTTTATCATGTACTTTTGTTTTATAATTATTGGCAGTGGAATAAAAAGTTATGTAAACTAGTAAATAGTTATATTAGAGGTGTTTTAGTGTTTTTATTACATTCATATGATGGTGAAAATTTTCTCAAAATTTTATTTGAAAATCATTTTGAGTAAGAAATCTTTTTTTCTTCTTCAATGGCTTGACAGCCCTGGGCTTCTCCATGCATCTCTACGCTTGGCAACTGATTTCTAGTTTTTAACCTTTAAAATATTAAGATCTTTTTCAGCACAATCAATCCATCTTAGCGGGGATCTGCCCCGAGGTCTATTTCCGATGGGCTTTGCAGAAAGATTTTCTTACAGCAACGATCTTCAAAGAAATCTTTTATCATCAGCATATCAGAAATAAAATTTTCCTTGCTGTGACCTAAACAGAATTCTTAATTAAACTTAAACTTGATAATATATTGTCATGATCTTCCTCCTTCAAAGCATATTACGAGTAATAAGGATGGTTTGTTATGCTGACTGGTTTTTTTTTTTTTTTTTTTTTTTTTTTTTTTTTTTTTTTTTTTTTTTTTTTTTTAATACAAAACGAGAATTGCTGTGTTTAAATTTTTAAAAAAAGGTTAAAACCCTGTAAAACTCTTTGTAAACCCTGGCCTCTGATGAAGATAGGTTTCGATATGGCGCAGTCACCGAACCTGCAGTCTAGGGTATGTAACTGCTGCTGGCAATTGAATTTTCATACAGAATTTTCTTTGCTGTGACTTAAACAGAATTCTTAGTTAAACTTGATGATATAATGTCATGATCTTCCTTCTTCAAAGCATATTAATAAGAATAATTTGTTATGCTGACCGTAGTTTTTTTTTTTTTTTTTTTTTTTTTTTTTTTTTTTTTTTTTTAATTCAAGAATGATAATTACTGTTTTTAAATACCAAAAGGCGCTCTTTGCAACCCACCCTGGCCTCAAATGAAAATGGGTCTAGATAAGGAGCTGTCACCGGACTTGCAGTCTAGGTAAATAGCTGCTGCTGACAATTGAACTTTCATACAGAGTGTCAAAGTAAAATATGTGCTGAAGTTCTATTTCTGTATGTAAACATGGCTTTTTGGTTTTGAGCGAAATCATAATTCAGGCCTTTTTATTTATTCTTTCCTTATTTCCTGTTCAATTCAGTTCCTCCCTCGTTTATTATAGTTTTATTGATTATTTATTTTATTTCCTCCCCTCCTGCAGAGCTTCAGCTCTCATAATTTTAGAAATTAAGCCTTGGATAAAAGAATAGGCGAAGCATTTGAAGAAACATAGGTTATGTATTTATAAGCATGTTCATAGAACTTCACTTTTGGCTCTTCTTTTCCTACTTTCTTGCCCCCTCTCCCATACTTCTGTCATCTTGTTAACCATTTTTCCTCTGTACACTAATTCTATAATTTCATTAGGCCAATTCACTTTCAGCCAACATCTTCTAACAAGTCCATCATAAAGCCATGTATGGATTAACCTGTTTTCAACACCCAGAATTATTCTCCCATTTTTATAAAGTTTATTAGAGCAGCCATTACAGTCACTCACATATGCGCACTTTTTTTATTTTACTATTTTAAAGGTATTCTTAAAACTTTGGCTCATTTCCTGTAAAATCAAAAGTTAATGTCACCCAAGTGCTGTCATGATATTTTATGATCATCCATCTTTAGTTGGAACTAATTTCAAATTCCCTGTAGATTATATGCTATGACATTAAAGTTGTGTTCTGATTCTAGTGTGTCAAAGCCCAGAATTTGCACTAGGCTTTCTGTCAATTTAACCACTCAATAGCTCCAAAATTTTGCAGTGAAGATTCCATTGACCTTGGTAAAGTTGATTTAATAAAGCAATTTGAGACAGCACAATGATCTTTCCAAAAAGTTCCCAGTGCCTACTTTTTGGGGCATTTGAGAAGGGGGAAAAGATTTTGAACATCCTGGTTAGCTCCAAATAGCCATCTGTTACTGCAAGACAAACTGTTTCACTACTGCATGTAAATAATAAGACATATTTCTATGCATGCATTCCTTATGTAAGATACTGCTGCCAAAATTCACTTCGAAGTAATACCTTAAATTTAAATATAAATGCTACCTACTCGGTACATTAGAAATAATATGATCTATTCAGACTTTTCTATTAAAAGCTTTGGTAAAGCTATTCTTAAAAATTAATTTGTCAAAATCCAGATATATAGACAATATCATTTTACATAGAAACCTCTCATGTATAGCTACAGATTCTGATTCTGTTAAATGACAAGTAGCCCATGGTTGGACTGAATATAGAATGTCCCACCAATAAAACATTCTGATGTAACATCATTGTGACCCAAGCAAATTTCTGTAACAACAGTGGATTAAGGGGAAAATGACAGTTTTTTTAAATTCATTTGATGTAAATG